GTAATTTGTTGAAAACAGTAACTGACGTATACACTTCGAATAGTCTATTGGAGTGTGCGCTATAATAGTTATCGTTTCAGGTGTGAACGGGCATATAATAAAAACCGTTTTGATGCACGAATTTAGCATTTTTGATACATCATGACGAATCCACATGGTTGTTGTGTCGCTTTTACATTTATAGTCATGACCTTACCGCTCGTCTTTGCTGCATTGCCAACATTTCATGGGTGTTTTGTTATAGAAGGTGCTCAGAGCTCAAAGCTATTGTCTGTAGATACTCCGTCGTTTAAGAAGCAGTGCTGGATACCAGTCTACATGTGGAACGCATTTCTTATCACCATCCAGTCCACTGCTAACTGCTCCCCGCTGCAGCAGAACAGTCATTTCTGCTTTGAAACGAATAACAATGCAACAATAAAGGCCTCAGTTTTCTGTGATAAGCGCTAACATAAAGAAATGATCTCGCTACGGCAAAGGCTCATTTAGCCAGTCGTATCTGTGCGATTAGCGGAAATGACAGGTAGTGACGGGATATTTGAGGAGATTTTAAATGAGTTCAGTGGCGGAGAGTCCACATCAGGTGGAACACTTCAAAGCTGCTGTGTGGGAGCTAAATAGTCATATTGGCAGAACTACAAAGGGACAGAGTGATAAGACAAGTATTTTACCCGGTTTACCCTTCATATATGTAGATGATGTAAATGCTTTATGTACTTTCTTGAGTATATTAATACAATTTCAAAATCTGTCCTCATTATTTCTTATCTTGCTAATAAAAAAAAAAAAGAAGGGTTACATTTAGATCGGTTGCTCAAAGTATAGTGTCGTTAAAAATGTCTTTCGACGCTTTAAAAAATGTCTTAATGTTTTCTTCATATATTTGAACCATGTTTTAGCCTATTTTAAAGAAGACTAGCAAATAAGCTAACGTTTCACAAAAAGACGTTTGTAATATTTCAAATGATAAATACACTGTGAACCAGAATTTAAGAGAAAGAAATTAAGAAATTCAAAGTTTAAGTAAGCAAAACATGGCAGATTTGTATTTTGTAGGCCTACTCATACATTTTAATTGCTCTTAACTTGAAATATTTGAGTAAGCTGATTCATACATTTAACTTAAAATAAAATTATCATGTAATCTCAACTGAAATATTTTTAGTAGTGGAAACTGGTAACACAATGCTTTGGTATGCATAGCATAGCAATTGCTGAATGAATGATAAAGCAATATAGAACATCAATGAATGAATCGGTTGAGAAAATTATTCAACGATTCACTCATAAAGACGGCGAAATAGTGTACTATACATACAGTTCTTATATGGCAGAAATCTGGTTCGAAGACCAGGGGCCTGTACCATGATGGTATACCAATTCGATCAGGCTTTGTTGGTACCATGACGCGGATCATCAACTTTCTCTGTCATCTCAGGCTTTGATCCTGAGTTCATGGAGCGCATGCACATGAAATTGTGACATCAGTGGCGAACAGCCAATCACATGCAACATAGAGAAACTGCGAAACTGAGAATCGGCGAAATTCTTTTTTAAGAATATGAAGTACAAAAATGCATTTGTAGCAAAATATCTTGCTATATCAGTGCAAGTGAAAGTTGTGAAGTTAGTTTATATAGTTGATAATATATATAGATATACAGAGAGTCGGACATGTAAGCTCACATAGTAATATTTAAAACTTTAGCCTATCTACCGATTCCAAATCATATTTATATTAGCTACATATTATCTGTAGGCTATATATTTGTGTTCATTTAAACTAAATGTTTAATATATAAACTTTATGACAGAGAATGCTTCCATAGGTGTGATTGATATCGGACCGAGCTACACCTGGGACTTGTGAGCCTTACTATAATATAGTTTCTTGACTCATCAAGTCGACCCATAAACTTAAACATTAGATTCCTCAAAAGGGCCTGCAAACAGCTTAGCCTCAAGTCACAAAAAAGCTTATTTGCACTGCTGCTCCTGGGCTTATTCAGCAGTATCCTCAGACAATCATTATATGCTACCTGCAGTTTACGCATGGTCTCCTTTCTGTAGTTGACCCATAATGGGGCTGCATACATAGGGGTACAGTAAGCACGAAACAAGTGCACTTGAAATTTCCTGACTAACATGTCCGCTTGTACATTCAACATTCGTCTTTGCCTATACATGTCAGCATCATCTTCCATCTTGTCAGTAATGATATGCCCAAGATATTCTGTACAGTTAGATACACAGATACATTGCCCTGACAGGTAAAACATAGGAAAGTGCAGCTTCTGATCTTCTCTAGTCCTACAAACCAACACAACACTCTTCCTTGCATTGTACATCAAACTCACCCCCATACTTGGAGCATATATCCAACAACTGCTGGAACCCAACAGAACTGGGGGACATAACAACTAAATCATCTGCGTACATCAGGTGGTTTAACAGAGTTATACTGTTACACTAAAATGGCTCACGTGTGATGGATTAGGGGAATAATATTACATAAACAATATATAAATCATATAAAAATAATTATAATAGTAATGACTAAAAGCCAGACAATTTTGTATTTAAAAATCTTTTAGTGACTTTTAACACGAAGCAGATTAGCCGGAGTGCAAGTTAGCCTAGCCCTAGACTATGGCGATGAACACCGCTAAAAGCCAAGCCACTTTCATGGTGACTAAAACCCAGGGTAGTGCAAACTAACCTGAAACATACCTGGCTGTCAACTGTCTACCTAAAATTACTTCATGGTATAGGCCCTAGAGCTACTGTCACTAACTGTTGTGTTGTAGGCTATACTTTAAATTATCAATTGTAGCCTACCAGGTAGCAAATTAATGCAGTTATGCGCAACAAGCTTCCGTATTCTGTAAAACAGGTCTTTGTATGTTTTAAAGCCTTGGGCAGCCAACTTTTGAGTTCAGGAGTGAGAGGTAGGCTATTGACAAAATTCATGATTCGATTCATGAGCTTGGGATTCGATTTTGATCTCGATTCAATATCGAAATAATTTATGGACAGTAGGTTAGCTACGTACATGTTAATTTTTATAATTAATATGTAGGCTAATATAGTGCATTTTTTAGTGCTCTCTGGAGTAGGCCTACATGCTTCTCGCTAACTAGTTAATGGACATTGAATGTCTTTTCTTAACGTGACATATTGTTTACATATTGTTAACGTGACATTGTTTACATATCTGTTTTATCAGTGGTTGAAAAACTGATTGAAGAAACATGATCATTAAATGGTTCTTTCAACATCCCCTTTGATGTTAAATCGTGTTTATTTTGAACTGTAACTAGTAGAAGAAGAAAATATGATAATTCACGTGCACAAGGCTACTCTTCGTTTGACAACACACAATGCGTCACGCCACATTAGTGCGCCAAAACGGTATTGTTTGAATTTCGTAATTAAACTTTTTCGTATTAACAATTTGAAAGCTGAGACTTTGTTTCATCAAAAGTAACCTGCCGTGTCTTGTCGGTCTGCGCGTTGTCCGTGTCCTCTTTGCTCCACGATGTTTTTTTTTTTTTAACTAAGTGAGAATATGGATACTGTATGGCGTGAGAACAATGTCAAATACCTGATGCTGAATTCGTTGGCGGCCAGCTATTTTAAGATGCTTTCAAAGGAGCTACCAATGAGCATAACCGATGTCAATCGCATATGCAATTAATCTTAAATAAAAAAAAAATCATTCTTCTCTTTAACATTTGTAAAAACCAACAATAAAAATAAAGTACTAGATACGTTAGCTTACCTTAAAAGTTCGTAGATATTGCCGTCAGTTCACTGCTTCAACAAGCGGATTCGATGAGAGCTTTTTCCCTGTTTGTTCATGTGACGTTCGACATAAAGCCTATCATATCGACATATCTATAAACAAATTCTTCAAATTATAATGTTTTATCATTTTAGTGTTAACATGGGAAAAAATCACTTGTTAATCTTTCTTTAATATAAATGGGATTGCTTTGACACTTGCAACACCAGACACTTTTAAAAGTGTCAAAATACTTTTTTGGGGTTGATTGGAAAAACATCAATAAAAAGAGTTAAAGGAGCTGTATGTAAGAAATGTATTTCAATTAATCATAAAATGGCCCTGATATGTCACTAGACATTAAGAAATCATGTACATTTCAAATACTTATATCACTGACAACAGTTGTCTGGCCAGCATATTGTCATTTAAAAAGTGCAGTTGCAGCCCTCAACTGATGTTGATGTTGTCATGTTGTGTTTTGGTCTGATGCTCCACCCTCCACCTATCTACCAATCACGAAGTCAATAGTGTTGCAGCATCCGGGTTGCCAGCTCTGCTCTAGTTACCACAGCTGCAGCTCGTCACGTTCCTGCGGGATCCTGCAGCCTATCTGGCAACCTTGAGTCAGGGAGGAGGGGGAGGGGATACACCGCTCTACAGTAATTTGAAAGTGATTGCAGTACCAGTTTTGGCCACAATCTTACATACAGCTCCTTTAAACTAAAAAACTTTTTGTGGCCTCTGTAAGTTGAAACCATTAAATTTTTTGTTAGGACAAGAATGAAATGACAGGATGTTGTACACGCAACATATCATTTTTCAATAAACAATGCCCATCTCTCTGGTTATCTGGTTTTTTTTATTCAATGTGTTCTTGAAAAAACATTTCATTGCATAACTGACACTTCATTTATCATATTTAACTCATTGCAACCTTTATGGCGGCAATATAAAAAACATTTACACTATGGTTCCCAAAATCCATTTGTGAGAAATGACGAAAAGTCAAAACCAACCAACTGAAACGAATATACAGAAATATCACCGAGGTCAAATAATAAAATACATTTAAACTTTTATTTATTATTTTGACAGTGCTCATGAAAATCTTATGTTAAGATTACAGTCACTGATTTAGCATTTGTTTTTTCTGAATGAGTGGACTACCTATCTGTACACTCCCACCCAAACGAACGACAAGACAACCAAACAATAAGATGTGAAAAAGCAACTTTTAATTAAATCCATAGTAAAATGAAACTGCACCTCCAGTCAAAATCAATCAGAAGAACGATATTAAAAGGCAGATTATAGTACAGAACGTTTTTTTTTTCTTCTCCTGGGTGATTTGATGAATGAGCACATAACATGGAACAACCTTTAAACGAGGGCGAACTGAGAGGTTCATTTCAACACACATCTACTGAACAATCATGAGCTCGGTACAAAGATCATATAGACATACTGTACGATCCTCCACATAAAAAAGTAACATATACAACATTTGAAATTTTCATTTTTAAAAAATACATTATGATACCGGACACTGAGTTAAGTTAACCAAGTTAAAAGAAGGGCTGGGTGAAAACGAAAAAAACAAACAAAAAAAACAGACAAATGCAGCAAAATAGAGTTAAGGCGAAAACAGATGAGCACGGACACGGGAGAAAAAAAAGAAAAAAAAAAAGAAGAAATGTGGGTCAGTGCGCTTTGCGTTTCCTTTTTTTTGTCTTCTTGTCTTTCTTCTTGCCAGCGCATTTCACACAGAACCACGACTGGTCCTCCGGAGGGGCGGCTAAAATACCCACACATGGCCTGAAGGAGAGAGAAAGAGATCGACGAGTCTCACTTACAAGTTGTTTGTCATGATACCGATCTATATCATTCAAGTTTATGTGCCAAGTTTGGACTTCTCTTATATTGGTACATAAATCCAAAATGGAGATTCAAAAAAGCATGTCTTTTAAATATAAAACTACTTGATCATTCTCAGCACATCAAAATATCTGCTTTCATCATGAAAGAGACACAATTTGTTCTCTCTATGTGTGTGTGTATTTTTGATCTGTAAGCGAAACGCATCAAAAAGATGATTCCCATAAAGCTTTACAGTAATGCCAGGCAATCTAGACTCTTTTTTTTTTTTTTTTGTGATTGGCACTTCCTCTGATTTACTTTGTGTTGAAGTGTGTGTGGCTCTTGAAATGGCATGAAAGAGAATTAGTGTAAAATAAAACAACTCTGTAACTTTATTTAATCAAAACATACTGCATTTTGAGCTTGTATGTCAAAAAAAAGGAAGTGTCTTGTGCACCACACAAGATGAATAAAGATCGTATGACTTCTCCTGAAGTCAAGATGAAATCAAAACTGAGACAACTTCCTTATAGATAAAACATCCCGTCTACATTTCTTTCTGTAGAACACAATCTGTTTTCTGTGTAAATTATGTCACATTACAGAAAAAAAAAACAAATAAAATCAGTGTTTGGTGAGTGTGTAACGTAAGAGAAGCTGGAAAGAGCTTTTACCAGTGATACCAGTCGTCACACTCGTCGCATCCGATCATGGGACTGCCGTCATCAGGTTTATTACATCCTGGACAAATCCAGATCTTATTACCCCTTTCATCTAGAATCTGTGATGAACAAACACAAGAATCAATATATTCAATCAAACCAATTTGGAAGTGTTACATCTGGCATTGGTAAAAACAAGTGCTATTATATGTATGTCACATTCAGAACAACCCATTCTTTTAGCTAGAAAATAATTCAATCTAAGCAATATGTGTTAGATAGATATGCATTGTTTTCAATGCATTTATAAGCATTCTGTCTCAATCGTGAAATGTATGTTTGAATAAATCGAATTAAACCAAATAATGGCTAAAAATAATTAACGACGACAATTCAGTGCATAAAATTCAAAATGTGTTTCTTGGTCGAAGCAAAGGTCAAACTGATAAAGGAAGTCACGCATGATATTTATATAAAACGAATAGCATCTTGTACCTTAGCTCAATTATAAAATGGAAAGTTTCATCTTTAAATTCTGATTGGAAGTCACACAAAGCATGATACACATCTGTAGAACTGTATATTGCCGTATTATATAATTTCATGACAACTGTAAATAGCCTAAAACTAGAATTATTGATTGTGTAATTAATTATTAAGAAATTAATATGAATATAAAAAATATGAATATAATATATATGATTATTAATACAGATTATATTTCAAATGAATCCAGTAATTCATTTCCAATAGTGCTCTCGTGTGTATATTTGAGACTTACCACGTATGCACTGACGGTCTCTGTGACGACGCTGCACCCCCGTGACTTGGCCTGGCTGGTTGGCGTCTGAATGGGGGCGGCTGGGGGCAGGACAGGAGGAGGGCGGGGTGGAGGTGCTACAGGTGCCAGGGCAGGTGGAGGAGGAGCTGGAGGGGAACGCATCCGAGCTCCCGGACCCGACCTGGCCACATGGGTCCGTGGTGGAGGAGGGAAGGGCTCTGACTCTGGGACCACTTTACTGATCACACTGGTGCAGAAAGAGAGAGGGAGAAAGGGTTACATACCGTATCATCTCATTTATTTACATGAATTGATAGTTTATTGTACTACTGTTTGATAAATATAATTGATTATGTTCATTATATACATATATATTATGTTTGCCTATGCCCTTATATGTACAGTGCTTAGCATAAGTGAACATATCCATGCTAAAGAGGAATAAAAATCATCTTTTGGAAATTGATCTTAATGCCTTAATTAAAAAAATAAGGGAAAATACAACCTTTAAGGACACCAATTTTCTTTGTGAATGAATAATGTATCGCAAATAAATAAATGTTCTTCCTTAAAATACAGGGGGCATAAGTCAGTACACCCCTATGTTAAATTCCAATAGAGGCAGGCAGATTTTGATTTTTAAAGGCCAGTTATTTCAAGGGATCCAGGATACTATGCATCCTGATAAAGTTCCCTTGGCCTTTGGAATTAAAATATCCCCACATCATCACATTCCCTTCACCATACCTAGAGATTAGCATGGTTTTATTTCAGTTAGCCTAATAGCTGGTTTGATTTGCATTGAGAGATGATCTTATGGAAAGTACCCCATGCCAATCTCTAGGTATGGTGAAGGGTACACTGGTAATGTAAATATTGATAAAAAGTATTATTGGTATATATAATATTGATATAAAATGCTGACATCATGAGGCATCATTATTCTGTAATGGCCAAAAACTAATGTAAATGAACAATATGATAACTCTGATTTTCTGTTTAAATTTTGTTTTTCATTATGAATGAATCAGCCAATTAAATAAATAAAACAGGAAAAATAAATAATTGAATGAATGAAAAACCTAACCTAACCTAAAATATGTATGTATATACAAAATAATAATAATAATAATAAAAATCACACTAAAGCTCTAAACAATAGGAGTAATCAACATACCACCATTTAATTGGGATGCTATACTTATGACTGTATGAATGCTTGCATTAAGAAAAATATTAATTTATTTATATATTAATTAATATAATACTTATATTATCTCGTTCAATGTTAGCTAATATTGGCTGATGATATGTTCACCAATATATATATATATACACCAATATCCTTAATAATTCTGATCTGTGCAATAGAGAAGAACTTAAAGCAGTTAATCTTTTAAATGCAACCAGACATACTGATTAAACCCTGCTGTTGCCGAGTAACAGGTTGATTGACAGGCTCGGAGAGAGTGGACAGCGGCGCTTGCTGTGGTATTGACCCTGAGAAGGGCGTGTCAAACGGTCAGCTCCGATTACACACACAGGCACTCATTATTTATGCTTCATCTGACTGACACACACACACACACCACAACCATGCACAAGGCTCCCTCTCGGGGCAAAGATGGTGTGGGGTATGCCCTGTCCAGGATGTGACCTCAAAACCTTTCAGAGGTCAAAGTTGACCCGTGTCCATGTTTTCACGTGCATCAGAGGAGCTTCAGTTGAGATCTCGGAAAAATTTACACTTTACCGATCATTATAATTTTGTTATTGCCGATACAAATCAGTACTCTTTAATCTCTTTTACTTTCATAATATACAGTGCATCCCACAAGTCTTTCAACCAAAAATAAAAGTTAAACATAAACAAAATCTAAAGCTTTGTGCTTATGTAAATGAAATAAAACACAAGGACAGACATAAAAACACATTTTGCTCTTGAAAGGACTGCTGATTGTGTTTTTCCACACAGCAGACTACAGGTGCACGAACACAGGCAACATCAGAGCCCCGACGCACTGAGAATAAAGGCCATGCTGTACAAACAGACACACGCTCAGACGTAAACACTAATGCTTCCTGTCCTGCATGCAGGTGGAACTGAAGAGGTGAGGAAGAAATTCAAAAGCACAGTCAAAACACAGTGTAGACACTATACTTTCCAAGTCGAAATCACACTGGCCATTAAAGCGACATCATTCACGTGTAGACGTTCAGGAATCAGTAATCGCCTTACCTGTAGTATGGCGCTGTGTGTGTGTGTGTGTGTGAGGGGGTTAAGTGGTGTGAACACTAGCACTATTGATAGGAGTGTGCAGGAGGGGGTCATGATGCGGGGTGTGTGAGTGTGTGTGTGTGTGTTTGCCCCCCTAAAAGACCTCATGGGCCGTCTGGGACTGGTCACAAGACCCAAAGCCTGAAACTCACACCTGTACACAGACTCAGAGACTCTGACCACACAGAGAGCTGCCTGATAGTCTCAACTCTTCATGTGTGTGTGTGTGTGTGTGTGGTACTTACATCTTGTCTTGTCCAGCGCCCACTCTGAGGGTCAGTCGGGGAATGACAGGAGACGGTGGGACAGCGGGAGAAATATCAGCCTGAACAGAGACAGAAATCATTTGAAATATATAGCAATTCCCATTTTATTTTTTCCCAAATTCTGTTTTCCAAGTCTCTGTATTTTATGATTTAATACAAATTTATCATCAAAAACGGTATCTAATAAAATCAATTTATAAAACTTCGAAATTTAATCTTCTAAAATGCAATATATATACACTCACCGGCCACTTTATTAGGTACACCTGTCCAACTGCTCGTTAACACTTAATTTCTAAGCAGCCAATCACATGGCGGCAACTCAGTGCATTTAGGCATGTAGACATGGTCAAGACAATCTCCTGCAGTTCAAACCGAGCATCAGTATGGGGAAGAAAGGTGATTTGAGTGACTTTGAACGTGGCATGATTGTTGGTGCCAGAAGGGCTGGTCTGAGTATTTCAGAAACTGCTAATCTACTGGGATTTTCACGCACAACCATCTCTAGGGTTTACAGAGAATGGTCCGAAAAAGAAAAAACATCCAGTGAGCGGCAGTTCTGTGGGCGGAAATGCCTTGTTGATGCCAGAGGTCAGAGGAGAATGGCCAGACTGGTTCGAGCTGATAGAAGGGCAACAGTGACTGAAATAACCACTCGTTACAACCGAGGTATGCAGCAAAGCATTTGTGAAGCCACAACACGCACAACCTTGAGGCGGATGGGCTACAACAGCAGAAGACTCCACCGGTTACCACTCATCTCCACTACAAATAGGAAAAAGAGGCTACAATTTGCAAGAGCTCACCAAAATTAAACAGTTGAAGACTGGAAAAATGTTGCCTGGTCTGATGAGTCTCGATTTCTGTTGAGACATTCAGATGTTAGAGTCAGAATTTGGCGTAAACAGAATGAGAACATGGAACCATCATGCCTTGTTACCACTGTGCAGGCTGGTGGTGGTGGTGTAATGGTGTGGGGGATGTTTTCTTGGCACACTTTAGGCCCCTTAGTGCCAATTGGGCATCGTTTAAATGCCACGGCCTACCTGAGCATTGTTTCTGACCATGTCCATCCCTTTATGGCCACCATGTACCCATCCTCTGATGGCTACTTCCACCATGTCACAAAGCTCTAATCATTTCAAATTGGTTTCTTGAACATGACAATGAGTTCACTGTACTAAAATGGCCTCCACAGTCACCAGATCTCAACCCAATAGAGCATCTTTGGGATGTGGTGGAACGGGAGATTCGCATCATGGATGTGCAGCCGACAAATCTGCGGCAACTGTGTGATGCCATCATGTCAATATGGACCAAACTCCCTGAGGAATGCTTCCAGCACCTTGTTGAATCTATGCCACGAAGAATTGAGGCAGTTCTGAAGGCAAAAGGGGGTCCAACCCGTTACTAGCATGGGGTACCTAATAAAGTGGCCGGTGAGTGTATATTACAAATGTTAATTCTGATTCATTGCCCTGCCCTCTTTTAGCTTTCTTTAATTCTGTTGTCTATCCAATAGGATTTCACAAATATTATACTAATTACCGATAATCTCACGATAACCGATATGCTACTCAATGTAATAAATCTATTCCATTTTGCCTGTATTTTGAAACAATCGCATTAAAGCTGTGAATGAGAATTGTACATGCTTCTTGGTGAAATAAGGTGACAAAACATTATAATGTATAGCATAAAAGTTCTAAAACAAGCTATAATCTATTTTTCAATATAATCAATCACTATAAAGATAACCATAAAGATATAGTTCTCAATATAAAAAAATAGCAGAGTTCATACCGATATCGTCCGCTGGTGTGGATGCTAATAGTTATCTTTATAGTTATCATTCTTGGTGTGAACGGGCCTTTATGATTATATATAACGAACGGTTTATAATAACTGTCAGTTTTCAAGCCAGTTTTGTACATTGCTAAATGCAGTTCGTCACTCCTCTTTTGAGTGCCTTAACCGTTCTTACAGGATCGTTACAGGATAGGCAACTGCATTCGAAAATTGAACTGAAAAATGTACTGAATCCACAGAGTGTGTATAGAACCAAACAACTACTTCAGTATCAGTTCTACATGCACAAAACATGGTGTCTCAGGTTACGACAGAAAAAAATATTTGGCTAATATCACTTTTGTCTAAAATAACAATCACCAAACAGGTTAAACTGTTGGAATGGACACCGTATTCCTCATACACACTGAACGAATACTTAAACCTGAGGTTATCTTTCCCAAAACTTGCAGTATTGACATAATCGTGAAAACCTAAAGTCAGCAATTAAACTACAAATCAGCTACTAATATGGACAAGACCACATGGCCTCACCTCAGACGCTCACACATGGACAACATAGTGTCCCGCTAATCCAGTTTAGCTAGCACCAGGGTCAGTCCTCCTGAAAAGCCCTTTATGCACACACACCTCTAATGCTGGCAGGAGTGTGTCCTGTCCGGGGCCACGGAGGGGTATTGGAGAGGGGTACAAACAGACCCCAGTACAGAGATAAAAACAGCAGAATGGGATGATGCACAGAACAGAGCGCATGAGAGATGGAGGAGATGATAGCATAGGGACGGATAACGCGGCGCTGGCTGAGGAGACCGGTGTAGAGTGTGTCTCGGGGGTTTTTCCGAGGCTTAACGGGAGTGAGGTGCTCTTTGTGTGTTTGTGTTGGGGAGAACCCCTGCCGCTGTAGCGCTTTTGTCCGCCCAGATCCCCCATAATGCCGCTGCACTAATTGTTTAACACAGAAACACGTCTTTTCTCTCTTTAATGTTTTTGTTTTTATTGTTGCTCCGCGCATTCATTACAAAACCTTTGTGGATTTGGAGACTCCTCCCTGTGTCTCGCTCTCTCTGCCTGTCTACCACCCCATCCTCTCGGTTTTTCACTTCCTTTCTTCTATGGAAAGAGGGGAACGTAAGTATCAGCAGAATTGAGAGGATGGCTGGCAGGTTGCATCATTTGGAGAGAATGGGAGCGTGAGAGGCTGTGTTAGCCGCCGCATTAGCATATATGCATGAACAAACCTGGCGGGTGACGCCAAAAAGAAAACAAAAAAAGCTCTGGAGGTATGCCTGCACGAGCAATTCTCGTTCTCAGATTCGCTTTCAGATCCGATCGTCCCAAATGGATGGCTTTTATGAAGCTTTATGACCATGACTATCGCAAGTCTCTTCTAGCAATACGTGCTTGGGAAAGAACCGCCAACCCCGATTGCTCCTATATACGGGTTACACTATACTGGGGATATACAAGGGCTGCAACTCTAAACTGCCATAAAAGATTTATCAGCAGTTTGTACTTCAGTTGATTAGAGGAGCTCTTGAGTTAACGCTGGACTTGGCACAATGAACTTTAGACTCCCGTGTTAATATATGGAAAACTCCTCCGAGAGAATCGGGCAAAACAAACTTGTTTCACCTTGTACCAGTGTTTCCTGCTCTGCTATTCAACAATGGAGCGGCATAACCTACAATTCCACGGCAAAAGAAATGATGTTTTACCCGAGTTGTGACTTTGCCGTCTGAATTGAATTTGATGAAATAGAAAGAGTGGGTAGCACTAAATAAAACAAAGACAGTAAACAGACTTGTAGAAATTGGTTTTGCTTCAGGACCCCAGATTTGACTATAGAATCAAATGGTGATCCAACTCAGTAAATAAAGGGCAGGACTGATTTGATCCATTAGGAACTGACCTCAGCCAGAATGAAGGGAGATGGGATGGGTTACAGAGAAGTAAGGGATTTGTGATGTTATCCGAAAAGGCAGTCTTCTTAGGCAGAGCGAATTGTTTAATTTTGTCTAGTGATACGCATGGAAAAACTGACTTTAAGTACCGTTAACAAATTCTTAAAATGGATCTTAGAATCTTAGTTAACAGTTGAAATGAGTCTTACAAATTGCTTGCCGAATCTGTCAGAACGGTTACAGGATTAAAGGGTTAGTTCACCCAAAAATGAAAATTCTGTTAGTAATTACTCACCCTCATGTTGTTCCAACCCCGTAAGACTTTCGTTCATCTTCGGAACACAAATTAAGATATTTTTGATGAAATCTGAGAGCTGGATCACTCCTCCATAGGCTTCTTAAGGGATCGAAACTGGCCGGCCCAAAAGTTATGAAAGACATCGTTAAAATAGTCCGAGTGACTACAGTGGCTCAATCTTAAGTTTATCAAGCGACGAGAATACTTTTTGTGCGCAAAAAAACAAACAAAAAGAACGACTTTATTCAACTACTCTGTAAGGCCGTGATATTTCACGTAGTGAAACTACGCAAAGCTTCTAGGTTGTACGTCACGCATCACACACATGACCAGCGTCGGCCAATAGTGAGCCTACGTATGACGTGCAACCTAGAAGCTTTGCGTAGTTTCACTACGTGAAATATCACGGCCTTAGAGAGTAGTTGAATAAAGTCGTTATTTTTGTCTGTTTTTTCGGCGCACAAAAAGTATTCTCGCCGCTTGATAAACTTAAGATTGAGCCACTGTAGTCACTCGGACTATTTTAACGATGTCTTTCATAACTTTTGGGCCGGCCAGTTTCGATCCCTTAAGAAGCCTATGGAGGAGTGATCCAGCTCTCAGATTTCATCAAAAATATCTTAATTTGTGTTCCGAAGATGAATGAAAGTCTTACGGGGTTGGAACAACATGAGGGTCAGTAATTACTGACAGAATTTTCATTTTTGGGTGAACTAACCCTTTAACAATGATTTTAGATTTTTAATGGTCATTATAGTTGTCGTTTTAAAATTCAAAAAACTTCAGATAACAATATCTCCCACTTGGAAAAATGGTACCTGTGTTTTCTAACCACAGTAGGGCAAAGGGGGAACAGCCATCCAAAACAGAAGCAAGTGCAGACCTCTCAACCTCCCTAAGGAAGGAGCCAAGGCCGTGTGTCTTGACGATAAGGGCCATGTATGTGTGTGTGCGCGCGTCTGTAAGAGCGAACGTGTGTGCACACTCAGGGTGACCCACAATAGCAGGACGAGATAGTACTATCTGCTTATGTTAATTAGTCTTTAAGTGGTTGAGGAGGTGGCAGCAATGTCTTTCTCCCTAAAAGTGCCCCGTCCTACTTAACCTACTCCTATCACGATTAGGCCCGCTCATTCAAACACGCACCGCACGCGCACCCAACATAAATGGCTGCGGGATCGCGCAAATTGATTAATCAGCTTCTAAATGGATGTAAAGTGCTGTAGCTAGCGTGACCCGGAGACCAGCGTAGCTCTTTAAAAAGCGCTATGAGCTAAGGAAGCGATAACGAAAAAGTGAAAAAGGAACTCTTGAAATTTTACAAGAGTGTAATACCATAAAGCGCAATACAATTAAATATGATACAAAGGTCCTTTTTGTGTCGTTTAGCAAAGAGTCTGTAAGAGTCAGTGTTCAATAGGGGTGGAGTTTAGAGAGACTGCTCAGGTTACAGAGAGGAAGCTAAATCAAAATTCATAGACATAGATTTCATTGACAATATTTAAACTAAACTGTTTAAACCAAGAGGTAAATGTAAGGCCAGTGTTCACCACTAACCTTTACTGTTCATACCAATGACCTCAATCCCTGCATTTCAAAAATAGTTTACGTAGTTATGGTATTCATGTTATCCCTGGAATGTCTTCAAGATCAGGGGCCAGTTGCAAAAACTGCTAAAACTAGTCTCACAAGTTCATCTTTTTTTTCTTCTTTAAGACTGTTCATAAAGTTTTTTAATGAGTTACATAAAAAAGTAGATTGGTCTAATTTGATACCAGACTGATTTTTTAATGTTTAACATCGCGTCCGGTGTAGCAGTGGTGTAAAGTCTATAAGTAAATGTAATTAGTTATAGTAGTATATTTTTGGCTACATTGTACTTTGAGTATAAAAGATATTAGCAACTTTTACTTGACTACATTTTTGAATAAGCATATATACTCTTTACTCCAATATATTTGTAATGCTGAATGCAATTACACGTTACATTTTGCATGGCATTTAACTTTTTCTGCAGTAGTTTATTTCAGTTTTAGCAATAACACAATCTATTGGGCATTGAAGGTACTATCTTGTGCATTTTGCCCTTACTCATCCAAACTTCTCAACAAGGCTACTTTAAGTGAATGTGAGATCATTAACAGGTAGTTGCTGAATCGCAGGTGTTTTATATTTGAGATGAGGATATGGCATTAGCAGGCCAGCATGTCCAGTGGAAGTAGGCGTTGACTTTTTCTAGGCTTTAATTATAGTTAACATTATTTTATTTATCCATAATATTGAAGAGAGCTTTTTGAAGGAAGTTTTGAGCAGTTGAGCTTAATCGAGGCTGTTGTGTCGATTGCAATATTGAGGTGTTAGAAATAAACATGCGATTGCTCTCCTCACAAAATCAAACATTGTTTTGTTTTTCATTGTCATGTCTCTTAAGTGTTGAGGACTAGTGCATTTTTGAGTCTACATTCAGTATGACTAAAACACTGCTAGAATCAGATAATCTAAGACTTTTAGGCATTGAAATTGGTGCCTTTTAACTTGTAATCATTTTTGCTGTAAGTTATCTGTTTACACCTGGTATTAAGCTGCGTTTTAGTCGATCGGATCACAAGCAGAGGAATACACATACCCATTTACACCTGGTATTTTAACCTGTCACTTTTGTCCATTCTCTGGTAGCAGCAAGAGCACGCCGAACGCTGTGAGTGTTAGGAATCAGGAACGGTGAGAGAACATTGTGCTTGGTACATTTTCGTCTTCAAATCAAAATTGGGTCTCCAGCCAACAAAGTTTAAATCCCGTCTTGCAATCCGGTCGAATGCTTTTTTGACTACCTCTGGAAGTGCTCGAAAGTGGACAAGCTCAAAACATTTTAGACTCCGTTTACACCTGTATTTAACGTTGTCCACTTGTGATCCGATCGACCAAAACGCATCTTAATACCAGGTGTAAACAGGGCCTAAGGCTTTTGAGACTGAAATCCGCTGTACCTCTGAAACAACTTTCCTTTTTGGCTGGCATCGCTTTCTCTAACATATAGAGACCATTTTTCATGATCCAATAATTTACAGTAAATAAAATCAAGTCCTGCCCTATGTTTTCTTTTTTTCTTCTTTTTTTTTTTTTACTGTGTTTTTCATTAAACTGAATATGCTGTTTCAATCAGAAACACATCTGAAGTAGGCTGCAAAAACCATTTCATTTTGACTTCTTGTTTTCAAGTGAGCAACTAAGGACTAAGTAAAGACTGCAAGAAAAAAATGGCATAATCTCTTTTGCTTTTTTCCATCTCTCTCTATTGTATCACGTCTCCTCTTTTTCCCCCATCTCTTCTCTCTCTCCACCATCATTCTCTCTCAATTTCTGTAATTCAGTGTTCGGTGGCAGTAGTTCCGCGGCAGTTCTCAGGAAACAGCGCTGGATGTTGTGGTTAAGGTCCAGAGATAGCAGATTGCATTGTGGTCCCACAGCATTGGCATTGTGGCTGGATTTGTCCGGTTTTATGTAAACGCAATACTCTTTTCACCTGAACTAATACAACCAGTGGCGTAAAGCCCCTTACTGCTACCGACGGCATTTTTCTGCTAATCTCTACGGATTTAAGTCCCTTGCACACATACCTCAGGCCAACGACTGATAACCCCCCCGGCTCCCCATCCCCTCAGCTCTCTTCCCTCTCTTTTTCCTCTTTCCTCTCACTCTCTTGTCTCTTTTTCTTTTCTCCTGGATGGCAGCAAAGCAGCCTTGCAAAAAATTAAAGTGATGGAAAGATTTAAGGAGGTGGAGAACGACAGAAATCACTTTCTCAATCCCATCTCCCAGTGGCAGCAGGAGACAGAGAAAAAGATGGAGAGAAAAAGAGAGTGTGGGGGTCAGGGATTCAGGTAACGCAAGAAAAAGAGACAGAAAGCAGGAAAAATGGAATTCTGCAGCAGTCCAAATCAATTCAAGCTGCTCTGATGTGGTGTACATACATTATCACTGTCGTTGGACAGTGAAAAGCGATTGGAGGATGAGTTTGATAAAGGAGAACCAACACACTCTTTCGTTCAAGCGCTTTTGCACACACACATACATGTACACACTCTAAAATGGGATATGAATTGGGTAAACAGAGGCTTTGAGGTGTTTTATCCCTTGTTTGATTTGCACACAGATTGATAGTCTATTGTGTGTATGTATGTGTGTGTGTGTGTGTGTGCACAGGGGCTCCATGCAAGGAGCAGGATTCCAGGGACAAATCGACCGGAAAAGACGGAAATGTAAATGTAGCTCGGCGATCTACCTCTGATCTCAAAGGTACACACACAAGGAGACAGAAAGAAACACACACAATGAGGCCAGCTAGTAAATCTATCCGTATGATTCCCATATGTCTTGCATTATTGATGTTGTACCTGATAGTCATATTGAATTCATGTGGAAATTTATGAATGGTGTATGCGGCCTTATGTATTTGGTGTTCAATGATAATTACATCACAGTTGCGTATGAAAAGCTACGAACACGACGCAAAGTTGTGTACACGTACCCCTTTGCTCTCGTTGAATATTTTTTCACTTTTTTCATCAAGTTCATTTCATGTTGACTTTATAGTTTTCAGTCGAATGATTACCTTTTTTACCAACAAAAAGAAGTATAGTATGCTTTTTAAAAGTATTAAATGCTACTTTGCTGTTTTGTGTCACATTTTTCATGCAACAAACAAACAAACAAACAAACATGTTCGCATAAAATTTCCCCTCTGTCATAATTAGCATCGAAAAGTCAGATTCATTTTAAGTGAACCAATTAGTTTGGGTAGGTTTTTACTTTCCGTTATATCAACTGGGGCGTTTTCTAGTCTTATAATTAATAAATGTTGTAATGTAGCTAGCTATTTTTTTAAAAGATTGTGTAGCTTTTAGTATAAGTAGTGTAACTGTAAGAGAGCAGCTTGACTGTTCAAAATTAGCTTTCCCAACACAGTATGAGACCAGGGGGCATCTTACCATTAAACTTTGTTTCTCAAGTTTTGGCTTGTCTTTTTCCTTTTCCTTCGTCTTTTCTTTCTTCTCTTTGTCTTTTTTCTTCTCCTCTTTATCTCGCTCCTTCTCCCTTGCCCGTTCCTTCTCCCTTTCCTTTTCACGCTCCTTCTCTCTATCTTTCTCTTTCTCTTTTTTCTTCTTCTTCTCTTTCTTGTCCTTCTTCTTGTCTTTGTCTTTGCTCTTGGTATCCTTGGTGTTCAGGAACAATTTATCAGGGAGTATTGGTGGCAAAGGGGGCAACATTGATGGGATTCGTAAGCAGGACTGGGGGCTGAACAGTGGGCTGGTGGCGGCAACGGCAGCGGCGACGTCTTTGGTTACTTGAGATATCCTCTTCTCCTCCTTGCCTCGCTCCTTACCCTTGTCTCGTTTCTCTTTCTCTTTCTTACTTTTCTCTTTATCTTTCTTCTTGTCCTTGTGTTTGTCCTTTTCTTTCTTCCCGCCAAGGCCGTCTCTGCGCTCTTCACCTCCAACTACGAGCGATAGCTCCGGCCAGGCGATCTTGTTCTCCTCCACCTGCCCTCGCTCCTTTTCCCGCTTCTTCTCCTTATTTTTGTCCTTGTTCTTTCCTTTCTCCTTGCCCTTCTCCTTGAGTCGCTCCTTGTCTTTCTTCTTCAACTTGGCTCTGATGTCCTTCTTGAGTTTTTTCTTCAGAAGAGTAGCGGTAATTGGGTCTTTCCGTTCCTGGGCTGGTTTGAGAGGTGGTGGCGGTGTAGGAGGCGAGTCAGGTGGGGACGACAGGTAAGCGGGCTCTGGAGGTGAAAGACTTGGGGCCTGAATTGGCTTTTGACCCTGATTGGCCTTTCGAATGACCTCGTCTATAGAGTCATCCATCGTCCAGCGGTTGGGTGGGTTGAGATGTAGGGGAAGGGGCGGAAGCGGATGTTTTCCGGGGAGAACTTGTGGAGGTTTGACATAGCTAAGTGTAAGTGCAGGTTTGGGTGCAGGTTTTGGAGGGTTTGTCCCCTCACTGTCTGAGTCCGAGTCATAAGCAAATGGGTCTGATGTGCCATCTCCACCCGCACAAGCGCGAGCAATCACAGCAGCAATAGAGTTCTCAATATCCTCGTCTCCTGTATCAAGACCTCTGAACTGGCCATCGCGAGAACTATCATCTCCGAGAGGTCCGGCCCAACCACGCCCAGCTGCACCCGAATGGGCAGGACTTGGCCGTGGGCTACGGGGGCTTTTGGGCCTACCGGGTGATCTCTTCCCAGCTTTCTGATTGGTCTTGGGTGGGGTCAACGCAAGCGCTCTGCCCAATATACCAGTGGGTGCAGAGCAAACCCCTCTTTTGGGCGATTTGTTCTTCTGCCGAGCAGGAGAGGGCGAGGGCAGTTTGGGCTTGTGTCCAGGTGTAGGAGGTGCCACAGGAGGTCTGGGTAATTCGGGGGAGAGGGGAGGGGAGGGAGAATGGGGCATGTGTTGGGAGTTGAGGGAACTGAGGGGTTCCCGTGGTTCGTAACTCCATTCAGGGCTAACGCCAGGTTTGGTGCTTAGGCGGGGTCTCTTGGCGGCAGGCAATAAACCCTCAGGTCTGGGACTCTGTCCGCCATGTCGACTAAGCCAGTTCTCATCATTCTCCTCTTCCTCAACATCCTCTTCCTCACCCAAGGAGACCTGCATGGCCTCGGCGGAGGTGCCCATATCTGGAGGAACCGGTTCCTCCTCTTCCTCATCTGCCAGAGAGAAATATAAAAAAAATATTAATATCACAGGTTTAAAATAAATCAAATGCAACCAGAATATCCAAAATGCAAGAATCAAGAGCCGAGAAACAGGACCAAGATATGATGTAAATCAGACTGAAAGCTCACATGCACCACAATCAACACAGCACAAATTACACCTCTTGTTTTAATTATTCAATAAGAACATTGTGGGAAAAAATAAGACAAAGTCAGAAAGGTGAAAATGAGCAATATTAACTCAGAGGGAACATTTCATGGTGAAATAGAGGGCGGATATCAGAGCAAAAGATCAAAATCATCCACACCTGATTACACAGCAGATCAACAGAGCGAACAAGATACACACACACAAAATCAGACCCACATCCAAGTGCGGAAGCAATCTCTGGTTAAATCAAACTTTTTTTAATGTCTCCAAGCACTCCAAACACACGCGCGCACACACACACACACACACACACACACACACACACACACACACACACACACACACACACACACACACACACACACACACACACACACACACACACACACACACACACACACACACACACACACATGCACACTACACACTAGGGTGGTGTGATACCAGTTAACCAGTGGTAATCTGGCTACTGCAACTCTCTGCACCACAATGGATGACAGGAAGTGCAGGCAGAGCCCTCTGACACCCTCTATTATAAATAGTGTAATCTATATGGTAATATTGTTGTATTCTATAAGCGCAGAATGGGGATAAGATAACATTGTGACTTTAGGCTTTCTTCCGGCCGGTGGAATTGTAATAGTTATCAAAGGTTATTTGGGAATGACACGCCGGCTGCTCTCTGATTGGCTGTGGCCGGTTATTTATGATACGAATTATGATAAAGATGATGTCTCTTCTGCGTCGGTCGCTCTCCCTCTTCTCGGCCCTTTTGCACAATAAATTGCTATCGTTAATCACGAGAAGGCTTTGTGCCGCCGTGATTACCGCGCCAGCGCCGTAATAAGAATTTTTATTTAAAGGAAGAATATGGATTTGTCATCACCTCCTCAGCGTGAAGTAAAGTGACAGTATTTCACAACGCTGACATTTAATTTGTATGGGAAAAAAAAGAAAAGCAGCATGGGTGATATTTGCATTTTATGGCTCTATCCTCCGTTTCTTTTCTTCTTGGAATAGCAGTACTCTCTCTTTTCTCTCATACAATTGGACGTTTCCACGAACAAGGTACAAAATAGGGTCTGAAACTCTTAAAAATTAAGTCATTTTTATTTGACTAAATGGCAGGTGAAAATAGGTGCTTAACCTTCAGAAAATGTTGGTTGTCCACCTCATGAGGTCAAACTAAATATAAGAGCCATTTTATTTTACATTCATTTCATATGAGTTGAAAAATTTAAAACTAAACAGTGACAGTGTTGAAAATTAAGTTTGATTTCAGCTCATCACTCAATTTTTTACAATAAATGTTCAATAACTAACAAGGTTTAACTTGACAAATGTTGCTAAAAATAAATTTGAGTGAAAATTGAGAAAGTGAAACAATTATATACATGTGTCTACTTGCCATTCTGTAGAAAGTTCCTATTGTCATTTGCTGGTGTCACAACGGTATGGCACGTATTTTTTTATTGACTTTTTTTTTAAACTAAGACAAATTTGACAAATTCAGAAGGGTGAATACAGTAATTGGATGCGTTTAAAACGACCTACTTTTTATTGTTTGCCAATAATAAGTTAAATAATAGTTTATCTAATATATCTAATAGTTCTCAGTACACATGCATTTGTGCCTGTAATGCTTCAAATAAGCAAATTACATCATTACACCATTACATATGAAAATCAGCGTGTGTTTGAAACCAGTGCTCATGGAAGGGATTGAAATGAGAGATATCTGAAAATGTGTGTGATAATTTTCAGACGTCAGGCCTCTACTCGTTCGTCCAGCAGAGAAACGGCTCCGTTTTCACTTGCAACCAGTTTCTCTTTCATCTGATATCAAAAATCAACCCCCCCCATCCCATTTCATTTGGCACTGCCGAAGAAAAGCACGGATTTGTACACTTGCACACATAAACACACGGCGCTTAATTGATTGTGTCACTTACAAATGCGAATAAGACTAAAGACAGGGAGTGATAACGGGAGAAAGCCACTGCGCCAAAAATGGTACATGGAAATGAAAACAAGCTTACACACACATTGTGAAGTAATTAAAATGGATAGATAAGAAAGAGAGCGAATGAGAAGAGAGAGAGAGCTGTCAATTTACTGAGTCCAATGCCTGATGCAACTAACCAGCTTTCTCATACTGATACACACAAATAGTTAGGTATGGTAATGGGGGGGAACGACTCATATCACTTTCATTAAAATCTCCCCCACCCCTCCCTCTGTGGTACTTTAAAAAGGAAAAGTTGGATTAAGGCCTACTGCAATTAAAGGCAACTCATTTATTGGGGGCTCCAATCAATGCAGAGCGCGAGAAGCGGGCTAAACGAGACGAGATAAGATGCGTTTAATGTTCCAATTCCACACAGCCTCTGTGCGGGACGATTACTAACATCTGAGAGCGTTCTGTGTGCATGGGCAAAAAAAATAAAATAATAATAATTCTACCTGTAGAAAGGTTTAATAGAGGAATCATCCACACCACACAAAGATTCCTAAAACAGCTTAATTTAGACTGGTAAGTTATCATATTATAAAAATAAAAAAAAAGATTCATAAATTCTAATCAAGCACAATCAGGGCTTTTAAAAAAATGTACTCGTTTCAACTGAAATTAGGCAGTTATCAATTATTTCTACTGTACAATATATTGCTTTGATGTCTGATTTTATTTGTAGCGCTGAAATTACAGATTGGAGTGTAGTGTGAAAGTTCTTTAAATGAATAAAAAATAATAAAAGACAAAACAGTACTGATTTATAATATCAGCCATCATATTTGTAATCAGCGTAACTTTCTGTATTGATGCATCCCTTAATTAACCTTAAACATGGTGCGCAAGACGAGCGATTTAATAAAGGAAAAACCTGCCTGGTGTGAAATAAATGGAAACAGAAGTAGAGTTTGCCATGACTTTGACCTTGTCTGCAGTATCTATCTTAAACACACACAAATGTACCGCCGGCCTTCTGTCCTGCAGCGTCTCCTTGCTCTCACGACCTTCACGTCCAGCAGGGGAAACTTCTTGCACGCTTCCGGCTGTAAGTTATTCAAGAATAAGCTTTGAATAATTGTCCCGCAATATGAGTCTCTCTGATTAATTGCCTGAGATAAGAGCAGCTTCTCTCTCGTTCTGTGGCTCCCGCGCTCACTGCAGGGCCCTGCCTAGTACCCTAATCACAACACACACCGTTTATCTGTGAGTGTGGAGATCCAGCTTTGCTTGGGTTAACATGCAAGAGTAGGTTTAACATAGACTTGAGCAAAATATAAAGGGAACTTCAATAATAGCATGTATCAAAGTGTACATGAATCTGCTATAGGAGAGGGCAGTATAACCAAAGTCACAATATGATCAATGTTTTATTTAGGCAGCCATAGCTACTACCTACATATTATATATTTTAGCTAGTACACACACACACATACATACATACATAAATATATATATATATATATATGTATATATAAATGTGTGTGTGTGATTGTGTCTGTATATATATATATCACATTTAATATATATATATATATATATATATATATATATATATATTAAATTTTATATGAATGCATGTATGTATACACATTTATTTTCATTCACAGAATTATAAAGAACAAGCTGATTTAATATGTACATTTTATATTATCATTTATTTTATAGTATCATTTATATTATATATTTTTGTATAATTCTGTGAATTTTAAACTTCTCAAATGGAGGTACTTATTTAAAAAAAAACGGATATACACAAACTTAAATATATGATTATTCATGATAAATTAATATATAAATGAAGAAAAAAACTAACAGACATAATAATTCTGAACAAATTTCTGATATACGCACACGTGACCTCATATCAATTTAATTATTATTAACTATTTAATTATTATTAATTATTAACAATTTGAGTTCTACAATAATGGGAAGTTGTGTCATTGTTTGGCAATTGCAAAAAAAAACAAATACTTTTTTTGGTGTGTAAATCTAGCCACAAAATACATAAGCTATGCTATAAATATTGCAAATCTTCTCCCAGAAGACATTTCTATCGTTATACGGTCATTCCGTCTAGCTATAATCTACTGTTGTAACTACAAATAAAAGTTTAAATTCAAAGTGAAAGCTAACTTTAAAGGCATAAAACAGGAAATGCACACATACATACAATGATAAAGGCAGTAAAAATGTATTTACACATCAAAGTTCTTCCTTGATCCTGGTTTGCCTAAAAACAGAGAACAGTTTTTCCATCCAGAAAAAACAAACAAACATACAAGTTACAACACAGGTGTGCAGAAAGACATGGAAACACGAAAGTTTACTGATAAACACAGGTTCTTTGTGGCAGCAAAATGTAACTATCTTCAATGCGAAACCCACATCCTCTTTCTTTTTCATGGACACACAAGCGTGTTGAGGTAAAATGGTAAAGCGAAAAGAGTGAGACAGTGGTGAACACTTAACACTCGGCTAATAGCAAATCTTCTTTCTCCAGTAATTTAGTACCATGCCTACAGGGCTCAGAGCCTTTGAAGTGGCAGGAAATGTCAAATCAATTATTGCTTTTCCTATAAGAAAAGAACGTTTTATTGGGCTTTCATGCCAATAGTGTACATTGTGTGCTTTGAAATTGGGGAGAAAAAAAAAAGGTTCATTTGGAATTAATTTACACACTTGGACAGGAGTCTATCAACGCTTGATTAAAGTGAAGTGGTTGATTTGTACATTTCTTTTCTCTGACTGCACCCGTCTCCATACCATATTTGATATAAGTCTTATTTGACACAATAACTCTTTCAATCGATGGTAAATGATATATTG